CTCTTGACAGAAAACAGGGATTTTTTTTTTAAACATACATAGTGCTGTTAGATAAAATGATTAACATTTTCTATTACATTTCTTTGCCTTCTTACTGATTCTGCCTATTTTCTTTTTATCTATTGCAACTTTGTGTTATATTTGTTCGTTTTTTAGGTATGTTTTAGTGTATTAAATTAAAATGAATATGATAAGCAGATGTCAATTAAAACTTTACATTGACAACCTCAGTTCTCTTCTATTTCTATAAAATATAAAAAACAGAACTGTTTATAAAATAGATTTTTTTGTTTTGTTTTGATGCTAAAACTGGCATTGGGTGAAATGTTTTTGTATTTAGGAAGTTTCAATAGAAATGTTTCATCTATATTAGCTTGTGATGACAGTATGTTATGCTGTAGGTAATTTCCAGCAATTTAAATCGTAGTTTAAAAAATGGACTCCCAAGGACGTATGGGGCTATGGGCTGGTGGCATTCTGTGCACTGGGTTACGTGGAGACGCTAAAATACAGTGAGGATTGATGAAGGCAAAGCACCTTGAATAGCAGGTTTTAGGATCTGAAGTGTGGTCTATGATACTATTCCAGGTGAAGCCTTCCTTCATATTAATAGTTATGGTGATGAGTTTGGATGAAGAAGACTTAATCAAAAAAGTGAAATATAAAATTAATGTTTCTAGGAACATAATGTGTTAAATGAGAACAGACTGAATTTAATGGGAAAAGTGAATAACATTAATTTAAAAATATGTTATACCTACTAGCATTTACTGTAATGATGAAGTACATAGATCACTTATTCCTTAGTATGCTAATATATTTTTCTTAAAGTAAAAATGAATATTGACTTTGCATATTTAATATATTCTTACAGTCATTTCTTTGTCAAGAGTATCAATACATTTTCTGCTCATTGAATGCTTGACTATTTTATTTTAATTTTGAGGTGAACTATAGTTTATTAGATAAATAAATATCTATTTAAAAAATATTTTGTGAGGGGAGATGAAAAATCACCTATCTGGCAACATGTCACTAGTTGGGTGACAAGTATATCTAAAGCCAAGACTTCATCATCACTATACAATTCATCCATGAAATAAAAAACCATTTGCACTTCTAAGGCTATTGAAATAACAATAAAGAAAGAAAACATTAAAAAAATATGTTTAACAGAAACTTAAGTAATTAAGAGCCCTCTCCTTCCCCTTGTCATACTTGAAATATGAGAGAAAGAGAAAAAAATATTGACAGGGTATAAAATTTTTTATAAAAGCCAAAGAATTTTTAAAATTGCTAAGATCTTTGAATTTTTAATAGTTTGATAACCTTGCCAGCATCCTTCTGTGGAGAAGTAAAAACAGGCTTAGAAAAGCATTTCAGAATGATGTGAAGTACTCAGTACCCAGACAGTATGTGGGGTTGGCTTGGCTCCCAGCAACGAAGTGGGAGAGGCTCAGGTAGCTAGTTCATTACCCATAACTCAAATCTCCTACTGGCTACAACAATTAAAAATACAAAGCTTAGGCTTTTTTTTCAGAGAAGTAGATGCCATTAATTTTTCCATCTTTTTGCTACCAGTCTGCTTGACCCAGCCTAGAACAGTGAACGAATAATTGCTGAACAATAAACAACTGAAATTTTCCTTCTGTTGGTGCATTTGCTATAGCATTTTGAATGAGAGAACCTAAAAGAAAAGGAAGAGTGTTTTCATAATAGGATTGGTGTTTTAAGACTGGAAGCAACACTTGTAGTATCTTCTGTCTTGGGGTGAAATTTCCTAGATATTCACTTGGCCAGCTGCTGTGTGGAGAGCAGGGTTGGGCAGGAAGGAACTGGATCCTGGTCTCTGCCCTGTCCCTGGCTCATTGTGTTATCCAGCAGAAACATCATGTCACCTCTTTGTGCCTCAGTTTCCTCATCTGTACAGTGAAAATCAGGCCTCTAAAGCAAAAGGCCTGGTGTTTGTCAGCCCTGCAGGCTATAGTTCCTGTCCCATCAAATGAAGCTGGAGGTGTCCAGATTATTGCTGTGTGATGTTGGTCCTGTCAAGAGTTGAGTCATGGAGGCTAGTAGCCTCTTAGACCTGTTATCTGGTGTCTTAGAGATTCAGTTTCTTTTCCTGTAAATTAGGGTAATAATGTCTGTCTCAGAGTTGTTTTGAAATGTGAAATGGCAAATCTTTATGAAGTATTAAGGCTGATGCGGGTTGCTGTGGCTGTTAGGCCATTTTTATCACTTTCTGTTGCTGGTTATTGGGTAGAGTTTGCTCTTTGCGGTTAGTGGAGGTTGCTTTCCTGGGTGTCCTGTGGATCTGGACCTGCATTGTCCACATCCCTGAGGACAGTTGGCTTGTACCGTACTCCTTGTCACCTCCTAGAATGCAGCCCTAGCCCTGGCTTTTTCTGTCCCCACTGCTCAGCTTTTTGTCCCCACCCAGCATTCCTCTGCTGAAGTCTTCCAGCCTTCCCTCTCCAGTCTGATTTTAGAGACCTGTACACTAAGTTCACCAGCATCCTCTCACAAACTGTTTATTTATTTATTTGTTATTTTAGAGTTGTGGGGTACAAGTGAGGGTTAACTACATAAAGTAAGCTGCATGCAGGTGAAGTTTGGACTTCTAACTCAGCAGTATCTTCTTTATTCCCCTAAAATGATCTTGACAGCTATGATGGCACCAAATCCTCGTTTCACCCTGTGGACACACATAGGTGCCACGCTAGCCATGGCATGGCAGGGCCCCCTGAGGTACTGCGCTGTTCACCATTCCCCACTTCAGCCTGTTCTGCTTCTATTAGTGATGGATGATGTTGCTAGAGCAGTGTTTCATTGTGTGGTATAAAGTGCATGTATGCCTGACTCTGAATTATTTTTTATTTTGCCAGAATAAAAAATATAGTGACCTACATTAAATAAATGTGTACAGTTGTAGTTACTGAATATGAGGTTGCTAACTGTAAGTTGCATACTCATTTTATGCACCAATAAGAAAAATATCCGTCAGTTGTTAGACACCATCAGTTATAAGGCATATTCCTATTTCAAAGGACTTAAAGTATGAACAACTGTAAATGAGGATTGATGAGATGTGTGTATCTCATATTAGGTATCACATACTGTTTTTCTTACATGTGTATTGTAGATACTGTTTTCAGTCTTCTGTTAAGATTTTTGGGTACTCTTGCTTGACAGAAACTTTCCAAATTTTCTTGCTGTTGCAGTTTCAGTGAACTTGCAGATACTGTGCTAAGAGGCATGTTTTCCTTGATCTGGTTCTTTCCAAATGTTTAGTGTCTTTGATTGGATCCACTGATACCTATCTCAGCTTGCACATTTCTATTATGGCACAGACGCAGCATCGTCTGAGTGCTTGAGGTGGAAGATGTACTTTTTGTTTTCAGGAAGAGGGAGCTGTATTGAATGCTTCTCAGTTCCTCTCACCACACAGAACTGCTCACACAAACTTCTTAGCCCAGTATTCACCACAACATTGTAGAGCCCTCTAATTGTCTATCCATCTTTTACAGTTTTTTTCATCTTACACTGTTTTGAAGCTTAAGTTTATTTTGCCTTAGCTTCTATTTCATCTTTAGAGCTAGATGACAAACACCCCCATGACTTCACGTTCTCATGGTCTCTAGAGGAATTCCTGAGAAATCTAGTTTATGCTGAGAGAATGCTTATGTTGGTAAGGATATTTCACTGAAACTACAACTCAGAAATGAGCAGGTATTGGTATTTAATCAGAATTGGTATTGGGTATTGGTATTTAATCAGAAATGAGCGGGTATTGGTATTTAATATTCAGAAGTGAATGAATATGGGAATTTAATTGATACCCAGAAGGGAGTGTGTATTGGAACTTAATGAATATTCAGAAGTGAGTGTGTTTTGAAATTTAATAAATACCCAGAAGTGAGTATGTTTTGGAATTTAATCAGTATCCAGAAGTGAGTGTGCATTAAAATATAAGACTCAGTTGGGAGGAGAGCCATGATATTTTTTGTTTGAGGGAAGATGTTCTGTGTACATTTGAGGCTGCATCACAAGGTAGATAGCAGGTAATGTGTGAAACCTGGGTACTCTTCTCTGGGGTATAGGGGTGTGTTTCTGGTAAGTCAGGGAAAAAAGAAATTATAAAAACTGTTTTCTCTCCCATTTAAAACAAGCTAAAGAACTCAAGCTCTATGTAAATGATGTAACATTATAGCATTTTGTTTGTAAATCTTACATTTAGTTTCTAATGGAGTATCAAGGAAGTACTGTTTGGCTAGTCAGTACTCATAGATGATATTGCAACTTAATTAAACTGGTTGAAATGATTATCAAATCGTTTTATTCCTTCTGAGCAGTGGTTTTCACCCTATGGAGTTCATAGATTTTAGGGAGGAGGTTCTATGAACTTTTGCACTTGTGTGTGAAATTTGGCCATTAGGCACAGTTTCTTTGGTTCTGTAGGGAAATCCTTCATAGGGGGTTAATAGTTCCAAATAAATTAATTTAATGCCAAAAAGTTCTAGATCAGCACTGTTTCTCTTCTGGCTAGCCTTAATTGTGATCTTGATTATAAATCATTAGAATCCCAGGGTATTTTGAAACTCATTACAAAGAAAACTTGATTTTGAATTCTTAGCCTTGGAAATGTTAGCATTGTTTAAGTGGTATATTTTTAAAAATAGTAATACTGCCTACAAACTATCAGAGAATTCACTTTTAGGAATTAGCGTGTGTAAAGGTATTTTCACAGAAACAGGCACTTAGAAAACTATGGAGCCACATGTGTTGATAAATTAAGGATTCAAAATGTGTTTCTGTTTTGAGCTTTAGTAATTAATTTCATAGTTGTGATTTAAATTATTTTTCTAAGGGAAAGAATATATATTGGAAATAATAAATGTTACTCGATAGTTATTATGTTGTATGTATACGTATGTGTATGTCGAAATTACTTTTTAATGTTAATGTAAATAATGAAAATACATGATTTTTTTTAATTTTAGTGCATGCAAGATATGGGAAATACTAAAGCAAGACTACTCTATGAAGCCAATCTTCCAGAGAACTTTCGAAGACCACAGACAGATCAGTATCCTTTAAAACTTATTTTTTGGGTATAAAAAGAATTAACTCATTTTTGCAGCTCATATTTTATCTGTTAGTATTTAGAAGATTTGAACTGTATCACACTATTGCTTATTAAGTATAGAAATTGATTTTCCCTGAGCTGTGCTTCATATATGGTAGGTTTTTAGTAGGAATCTGGTAATACAGGATATACCCAGTATTTTAACATAATTATGGATGGTCTTCAATTTACAAGGATGGTTTGACTTGATAATGTTTTGACTTTACAGTGGTACAAAAGCAATATGCATTCAGTAGAAACTGTATCTCGAGTACCCATGCAGCCATTCTGTTTTTCACTTTCAGAGCAGTATTTAATAAATTGCATGAGATATTCAACACCGTATGGGAGGGGATCTCTCTTTAAAAAAACTGTTTATTAAAAATTATATATTTATTCTTATATGTTTAAACTTTAGTCACCTTCAAAGTATTCTCTGTTTGATGCAATATACCTATTGAGATGCTTTTACCACTGCTCAAAACAGTTTTTGAACTTGTCAGTTTTGATGCCTTTTAGTGCTCCTGCTATTTTTTGTTTCACCTATTCCTTGTTGGCCAAACGTTTCCCTTTGAGGCCTTTTTTTATCTGGGGACGCAAGAAAAAAGTTTCGGGAATGGAGATCAGGTGAATAGGGAGGGTGAGACACAGGGGTCATGCTGTTTTTGGACAAAAACTGCTGAACACTCAGTAAATCACCTATTATGAAATAGGTAAATGCATTGAAAGACTCAAAAAAAAAAATTTCAGTGAAGCAGAACACAGCCTCCTACAATAATGCTAGCTGGTACACTGATGCCAGTGGGTTCCTAGAACATTTATCTAACACGGGAAGCCTGTTCTACAAGGGGTGTGCCCTCTACAAGAAAATTCTGGGTCTTCTTTGTATTATAAAATAGACATTTTTTGGTTCCCTTTGTATTATAAAATAGACTTAGAGTTAGATGACTTTGCCCAACTGTAGGATACTGTGTTCTTAGGTTAGACTAAGTTAGGATGTTTGGTAGGCTAGATATGTTAAAAGCATTTCTGGTTTAAGATACTTCCAAATTACAATGGGTTTATTGGGACCTAACCCCACTGTAAGTCGAGAATCACCCGTAGTGCTAGGTGTGCAGTGCTGTGACTGGTTCTTGATAGATCTCCACCACTTGACTGGATAATGTATGCTGTTTATTATTTTAGCCTGTAGTGAGAGATTTGATTTGTGAGCATCTGAAAGTTTGTCAAATCATTTCCATAAGTTTTTGATCCCCTTTACGTTTGATAACCATATTTATGTGAAACATTGTGGCTTTTAAAAGATGAATTACATATTTAGTGTAAATGCTGAATAATTTTTGCTAATATTGACAACTGACATTCTGTCTCTGTTGTAGGCTGCACAGCTATTTGCTTTACAAATCTGCTTTTATAAATGGGTAAAATATTTTCCCATGTGTATTTTAGTCAGTATGTTTTTCAGATTTTTTTTTTTTTTTTTTGAGTTGGAGTCTCACTCTGTCACCCAGACTGGAGTGCAGTGGCTGCTCCCGGCCACTGCAGCCTCGACCTGCTGGGCTCCGGCGATCCTTCCGCCTCAGCCTTCCGAGTAGCCGGAATTACTGGCATGTGCTACCATGCCCGGCTGATTTTTTTAATTAATTGTAGAGATGAGGTCTCGCCAAGTTGCCCAGACGGGTCTCGAACCCACAGGCTGAGGCAGTTCACTCACCTCAACCTCCCAAGGTGTGAGATTACAGGCTGAGCCACTGAGCCCGAGGTCTCGCCAAGTTGCCTGGGCTGGTCTTGAACCTGTGGGATCAGACAATCCACTCACCTCAGCCTGCCAAAGTGCTAGGATTACAGACTGAACCACTGAACCCAGCTTATAGGATTTCTTAAATTTGTTTAATTTTGTAAAAAATGGTTCATCACAATTGTGCTGCTTTATATATAAGATCTAATTAGTTGTAGGTATTTGGATTCTCTCCAAAGGTAACATTTGTGTTTTTGACAGTAAAATTTTTGTTTGTTTGTTTATTTATTTTTATTTTTTGAGTTAGAGTCTCACTCTGTTGCCCAGGCTGGAGTACAGTGGCACACTCGTGGCCACCCCAGCGTCGACCTGCTGGGCTCAGGCGATCCTTCCACCTCAGTCTTCCAAGTGACTGGAACTACAGATGTGTGCTACCACACCCAGCTAATTTTTTGGTTTATTGTAGAGATGAGGTCTCACCAAGTTGCCCAGGCTGTTCTTGAACCCGCGGGCTCAGGCAGTCCCCTCATCTTGGCCTCCCAAAGTGCTGGGATTACAGGCTTGAGCCACCGCACCCAGCCAAAAATGTATTTTCTTAAGGATCAATTATATATTTTCTGTAGAGCAAAACAATTTGTATGGACAGTGGGAAAAATAGAATCTTTTCTCACAGAGATATAGACCATTATATATTTATTTTCATATTTGCACAGAAACCTTTGGCCTTTTCTATTTCTGCTCCACTCCTTTCTCTGATTTTTGACAATCTTATCTCCAAGACTGCTTTTGCTTTAGAAAGATTTTAGGGTAAGAGTGTAGGTGTGTTTTAGATATAAAAAATTGTGTGAGCAAAGGTGAGGAAGCATGACATTCTGAGGTTTTAAGGTGACAAGACTTAAGTTTTGTGAAACTGGTGGCAATAGAAGCTTCAAAGTTATTTTGGTTCAGATTGTGAGGGACAGTGTTATGTAGACTGGTGTGCTCTCATTTCATCAGCCAGTGTTAGAAACCCATGAAGGGTTTTGGCACAGGAGAAACATTAGGAATGCTAACTTCTACCATAGAAAGACAGTTGGAGGTGGCAGGAGACCTTGCAGAGTACTAGTGCAGGCCACAGGTGACAGTGATGGAGTCTCCTGAGACTATAGCATCGGGAATTCTAGTGCAGCCCTCAGATGACAGTGATGGAGTTTCCTGAAATGGTAGCATCAGGAATAGTAGTGCAGCCCACAGGTGACAGTGACAGAGTCTCTTGAGACAGTGGCATCAGGAATACTAGTGTAACCCACAGGTGACAGTGACGGAGCCTCCTGAGACAGTGCAAAGATGACAGTGCAAAGACAGTGGAGACAGTGGCATCAGTAATACCAGTGAAGCCCCCGGGTGACAGTGATTGACTCTCAGGGGACAGAGGCATCAGGAATGAGCAGAAGGGAGTTGGAGAGATTAGAAAGAGTTTGGAGACACAGGAGGACTTGGTGAAGATGGGTCTTGATTCTGAGGAAGACTCTGAGCTGACCCAGAGTTCTAGCTTGGGTGATTGTAAAGATAATTAGAAGAGGAGGAATTCCTTACAGCTCAGGATGGAGGGTTAGGAGTGACAGGTACTGAGCCAACTTTATTATTGGGGCAGACTGCAGTGTCTGCTCCACATACACATGGGGTCACCCCATTGTAGCTGGGAAGCTGAGCCTGCACCCTGGAGGAGGCAGGAGATGCAGTCTGGGGCGTCCTTCAGCTCTTGGGTCATGTTGACCTGTGGCCACAATTTCTGTTCTATCATGATGTTTATTGAGATACTGAAGAATGAGGATCTCCAACTGCATCCGAGGGACTATATGTGGTGGCAGGGAGTACAGCCTGGCCATGCACCATGTTCTGGGGCCACTGCCCACTGCTTGCTGGCTGCAGTATTTTCTTCGTCCATTTTCTGCTCCCCACCCACAAACCCCCTTTTCCTGGCAGTGTGTGTATGGAGGGGAGGGATGTTGGGTTGGGATGGGGTCTGTGGGCATCTCTTGAATATCACAGGGCAAATTACTGGAGGTTCTGGAAAGTTTCGGTTTTATTCATGTGGCACCTTATGGATGAAAGCAGCTTCCAAGTTATTGAATGTATTACCCTGATTCCATGTTGCTTTCAAATATGCCTGAGAGACATTCACAGAAGGACAGCATCAAGCTTCCTGGTGACCTTATTTGTTGAACTTTTCTGTGCACCATTTTGAGTCAGTGATAGGAATACTATTTCTTAAGTAATTACCCTCAATTTTACGATGAGCCCTAGAGTACAAAGGGTGAATAAGGTAGTGCATTATTAGTTCTAGGATCTTGGCTGATGTATTTTAAGATATTTGGTCCTTATCTGAACATTTCAAGAAAGGTGAGGTTTTTATAGTGAGTTGTTTGGTGTCTGGCATTGGTAAATTCTTGACCTTGGCAAGTGAAGATGTGATTTTGGCAGCAAGAGCTGCAGTAGCTTTGCTTACTGAGGGTTTGCCTCATGCCATTCCCTGGGCTTGGCATTTTATATCCATGTCTTTGTCAATTTGTAGAATAACTCAGCGAGAGAGAGCATAGTGTTTTCCTGTGGGAGGTAGGAAGGGTGAGATGTTTAAAGATCTATTAAGAAGCTTCCCAGAGTCTCTAGTTTTCCCTCCTGTGTGGGGGCACTGGAATATTATCTGACGGTGGTCATCTGAGTAAAATCGGTGCCACACTTGAGTCTTGATTGCTGTTAATAAACATAGATAGGCTTGTAGCTTGGCACTCTTTGCACCTAGGTAAAGATTTCAAGTTTTTACTACCTAATAGGTGCCTAATAGACTTTTGGATTAAGTGTACATTTACTGTTGCCTCAAGTGTGCTCATTTGAGTTTTCAAACTAAATGTTGCTTCAAGAGCATTTACAAACTATGGTCATATTTATATGAGGTGTTGACCTTTTTTTTTTTTTTTTGGAGTTGGAGTTTCACTCCGTTGCCCAGACTGGAGTGCAGTGGACGCTCCCGGCCACCGCAGCCTCGACCCGCTGGGCTCTGGCGATCCTTCCACCTCAGCCTTCCGAGTAGCCGGAATTATAGGCGCGCGCTACCACACCCGGCTGATTTTTGATTTATTGTAGAGATGAGGTCTCACCAAGTTGCCCAGGCCGGTCTCGAACCCTCGGGCTCAGGCAATCCACTCACCTTGGCCTGCCAAAGCACAGGTTTACAGGCTGAGCC